CTGTATAATCTCTCTGAAATGATGCGACTCAAGGATTAAACTGAGATAATTATCTCTGTTAGGCCTCCGACACCATTTTAGATATTAGAGTAGGAGGAGCCAAGTTTTTTTCTTGAACTTTATTAACAGGTTTACTTAAACATTATTGTCCATTTTTACCTGCGATAATTAATTTATTATTTAACTTTAAATAATAACTAAGTTCTGTTTTACTTTTGTCTGTTAATATATTTTTCAAGTGTGACTACTGAATAAAATAAACAGACTGATGAAGCTCTGACTGTAAACAGCTGCTTTTGGCTCAGTGGGGTCACCACAGGGTCGCTCCACGTGTTTGACTTGGCAGATCGTGGGGTTGTCTGATGCCTCCCCACAGGACTCGCATCAGGCAGGGCTCACACACAGCTTATAAATAAAGTTTCAGAGAAAAAAGAACAAAATAAATGTTCATATAAAAGAAGTGAGAAGCAGTCCTGTATAATTATAACCTGTATGTACACTTGGCCACCTTTACATGATATAAAAGTACAAGTAAAAACAATCTGCTTTAAAACACATCATGAAGCGATATAATTACACAACAATAAGCTCACACTACTCTCACAGAACAACAGTTACAAATTTGCATAAATATCTGTTTCATGGCACAGTGAAAAAATCACTTTGTTAAGGTGCAGATGGAGATTGTTGGACTCTGTCTCACTGGGACAGTTGTGAGCGTAGAATACCTGTTATTGTTATTGTAGGGTGAGATCATACTTCAGAGCTGACAGATGAGCTTTTTTAGTTCCTCAGAAACATTAGAGGAGTATTTCCCAAAGTCACAGATCACCGAGGACGACACTCAGCATCGCAGTTTCCTCCTCAGTGATGCTGACAGACACAAGCTGCAGATGCATTAAACTGCAGTTTACTGAAGAATCAAGAGCTTATTCTGATAACTTAATGTTTTCATTACTTAACTGTATGGAGTCATTTTACTTATAGTGTAAAAGTCTGTCAGTGTGGTTCAGGGTCCGTCCTTAACGATGATGCTGTGTTTGTGTGAAGGCTGTTTGTGTGCAGCAGCATCTATATTTGAAGCATCATCTGCTGTGATTTCTACGACGGTGTTCAGATTCACTTTTACAGCTCAGATGTAAATAGACTTTATACCTTGTGAATAAATTACTTCAAGTTTTCACTCCATATGATACAGAGGTGGAAGTCACCTGCAGCTCGACTGCTTTCTGAAGATACAACATGAGGTGTCGTGTTTGTGAGTTCGACACATTAACAAATTAACGTTTTGAACTTTTCTCTCTTCAGGTTTTTAAACCCAACAGTTTGTCTCCAGATGAGTTAATAAATATCTGCTCATCTCGTCTGTTTCCAGCAGAGCGGCAAAATGGCAACTGCAGAAACAGGTGAGTGA